AGATTATTCTGGTGGGTTAATTAAATACTCGGCTAAGGCCGAGGGAGAGATATCCGGATTCAAGCACGAAAGGTTCTAAGTGTCAAGTGAGTCGCCTCCACTTTAAAATAAAAGAATAAGAAAAATTCCCAAATCACCTTTGGAGTAATTCGCGATAGACGTAAAGGTGTTTTTTTTCTCCAACCACCTCAATAAGACGCTATTTTGTGACAGTGTTCGGTTAATTAATTAGTGGTTAAGAATCCAAGTTTTCAACCTCCCACCCCTTGTACTTTCCCCGTGTCACCTTTAAAACCAAAGAAATTTGGTAGGTTTTTTAGTTTTTCAATCATATCTTTCTATAGGTTCACTTTACAAAAAAAATATAAGAAATTGTAGACTATAATAGTTATTTATGTATTAAGGGCATAAAGCTGATGTTTATATCCTCGAGGGCGATGAGTTAAAAAGCTCGAGGGCCGATAGGCCCGAGAGCTTTTTAGTCGCCCGAGAGTATAATCATCAGTTTATGCCCGTGGTACATACAAAATTTTATGTCTTACAAAATAGTTTCTTTCGTCAAAGTAAATATTCGTTTACAAAACAATTCATTATGTTTGATCAAGTATGAGTGGTTCGAATTTGTTAATGTGATTGAAACTATAGTTACTATTGAAACCATCCAAACGTCAAACGCTTACTCAATTCATCATGGATGAAGTTCCAGAAAGTATTCAAAATAAGGCCAATCTTGCAGCGGACCAATTAATTCCACATAAGTCTAAAAGTTTATATAATCTGGAATACTCAAGGTTTGTTAAATGGTTAGCCAACAACGGTACAGGAATTATTAATGAAGTAGTACTCTTAGCGCACTTTCAGGAATTGGTGAGTTTAGTATTTTCATTTCTTTTGATTTGTTTAATGGCTGTGTGTTATAGTCTGAAGTGTTTCAACCAACGTCTTTATGGACTAAATTTTCTATGATTAAAAAAACGCTGCTTTTGAACAAAAATGTTAATATTGGAAATTATGCAAAATTGACGCAATTTTTAAAAAACGTCTCCAAAGGTCACGTGTCCAAGAAATCAAGCGTATTAACGCGCGAGGATATTTTAAAGTTTTTGCGGCAAGCACCTAACCACGAATATTTATTAGTGAAAGTGGCACTAATATTTGGGATCTACGGCGGATGCAGAAGGCAAGAACTATGCGACATGCTTATTAGTGATGTAGAAGATAGAGGTGAAGTTATTGTGGTTACAATTCCTCAAACAAAAACTGATAAGTAGCGAATATTTTCCATTATTAATGAGACGGAAATGGAAGCCATCCAAACCGTAAAAAAGTATTTAGCACTGCGTCCGCAGCACTGCAACTTGAAGCGGTTGTTTTTAGGCTACAGGAAAGGGCTTTGCATTGCTCAACCTGTTGGGAAGAACACGTTTGGGAAAATCCCCTCTACAATTGCAAGTTACTTAGGCTTAAAGAATCCTGAAAGTTATACGGGTCATTGCATGCGTAGAACTTCTGCTACGTTACTCGCGGATGCCGGTGCTAGCATGACTACACTAAAGAGACATGGGGGATGGAAGAGTACAACTGTAGTAGAAGGGTATATTGAAGACAGTTTAACAAGCAAGAACAAGGCAGCTAAGCTAATTGCGGGAGAATCGCTAAATATTAGTACAGCGTCAAATCATCTGGCAAATACTAATTCACCAGTAAGTTTAAACGGTGGCAATGCTATCTTTTCGGGATCTTTCAGTAATTGCACCTTTAATATTAATGAAAAAAAATAAATACTGCTATTTTTCAGGACGTATTTATGAAATGTTAATAAAGTTTGTTCCATTGTTGCGTTTTTCTTTAAGAAGTGACATGTATTTTATCTGTAAGGAATCTTTCGCACGGAGAGCCCTACGGCTCGCACTTGTGACAGTTAATAGGTATTGACATTTAATAATTGACGTTTCTGTTTTGTCATTAAGTATAAATGAGTTACTATGGTGATACTTAATGCCCTAGGGCATAAAGTGGTACTTTATGCCCGCGTATCACAGATATAAAATGTGCTATTATATGTTAGTAAGACATAAAATTCTACACAACTTTGATAAACACTACTTTTTTGTGAAATGTTTATTAAAAACGATATAGAGTCAGAGTTGCTTATATTTTTAAGAATTCTAAAATTTGTATGTAGATTTTATACTTTATCTCTATAATTAAGAATTGTATGAGAAAACATCTTGAACTTATCGTGGTATAAATCCCCCTACCCTGCACCCTTACCAAGGGGGATGCATAATAATTCAACTTCAACCCTTGCTAGTGGGGATATTTGAATCACTGTGAGATTGTAGCGCTTTCTAATATACGTTTGTAACACAAAAATTATCTCACTCAGGGCTATCGTTGGTAGAAATTAGTTCCTTTCGTAGAGACCTTTCATGAGAGTACCATGAAGGATAAAACTAGTTCCACTCCCCCCCCCCCCCCGCCCACTAGCCCGTACTTTGATAAGAGGGCAGAAAGAAGGGATGTAATTGGTAAAAAACGGTTCCTTTCGTGGAGACCTTTCATTAGAGTACCATGAAGGATAAAACTAGTTCCACTTTTTTAGCATATTTTTGCAAATTTATTTGTAAAAAGTAGCTTTTAATCTCACTTTGGCTAGCTGGCTGGCTGGCTGGCTGCAAATGTGGGCGCGTAGAAGAACTCTTGTAGAAAGGCAACGGGTGTACGTGTATCTACAAGGCCGTGAAATTTGTCAACCTTAGGGACATGGCTACATAATGTGCGGTTGGCGACATCTAGGCGTCATTCTCGAGCGTAGTATACTAACGTGAAAGTTTTTCAGTTTTTTCCTATCTTCTACTACAGTTTTGGTGCGATTCTTTTCAAATTGGTGTCGTGGGAAAGATGTTGTAAACGCGCACAACTCCTGCGTGGCGGAATTTTGTTTTTTGTCCTAGGGGCGAAATTAACGACCTTTTGCGAGGCGCGCGCGCGCGTCTTCGAGAAGTAGTCAACTTCGGGCGCCTTTTACCTTCCGTTGCGAATTTTGTCACGCGGTTTAACGTTTCGTAAATCTCGAATCGCTGTCTCTCTTTCTCGTGTCGCCAATAGAAGCGAATTGCGGGTGGGTGGACGGGACGTCGGAAGTGGCTACCGTCAAAGGGAATGTGGTAGCCCCCGACACGATTTTAACTTTAAAAGCGAATGGCGGGTGCACGCGGAAAGTGGGAAACGGTTAGTGAATGTAGTAGCCTGCGACAAGATCTGTTATTGATGGTTGAGTCGAAAGTGGCTAATAGAATACTGATCTGCCACACAAAAATGCGCTGAGGTCCCTTCGATCTCACACGAGGACTTTGATAATTTTTTTTAATTCTTAAAAATGCGCCAAAAATGATATAAAAGGACTTTTGATATATCATCTCAACACAAACTAACTACAATATATTTTTTAGAGAATCTCTATCCCACGCTCATTATGTCCTCGCGCCCTTATGTCCCGCGCCCTTATGTTCAGCGCCCTGTTGTCCTCGCACCCTGATGGCCGCGCCCAAGGCCGCGCCCTTTCGGCGGCGCCCTAATGTCCGGCTGCGACAAAATACATAGTTCGCCGGTATTATAAAGCTTTTTTTTTTAATTATCTACATATAATAATAAATAATAATAGTCATTTATTGGATAACGTACAAAAGAAACAATACATAATTCTAGTGAATATTAAACTAAATTTATTACGTTATTCCAAAAGGGCGAAGTTCAGATGTGTAGTGCAAACTACAATCTGTTCTGCCACTTAACCCTATTAATAATTTATTGTGATAAGTCAGATTATGGCAAATAATTATTCAAGATGGAACCCAGCGAATGTACTTATCCGAATATAGAAAAAAAAATGACAGTGATAGTATTTTTTAAAACAGAATAAAACTCATAATACCGAAATTGAACATAAAAATAAAATAAAACATATTATCTCAAATGCGTTTGTTGCTGCTCTAGAAGTATTAGTTTAAGGTTTTCTCTGAAGCGTTTTTGGGAACATGAGTGTAAATGACAGCAAAGGGAGTTGTAGATTTTTGGTGCATTGTAGCTAAAAGACCTTTGATAAAGGACAGTTTGTTGCTTAGGAATTGATATAAGGTACTTTGATCTAGTATTAAGATTATGTAAATTATGTCTAAATTGAATTTTTTCGTACAGATACGGTGGGAATTTATTGGAAATAATTTTATGAATAAACTTATAAAGCATACTTAACTATGTTGTGAGGCTAACAATGTTTGTTAAGGCATATGATTGGATGGTTTTGAAAATAATGACATCATTATTTTCAAAATTATCCAATCACATTCCTTAACAATATTGTTAGCCTGACAACATAGCTTTATAGTGCCGAGTGTGTAGGGGTCTCGGTAGGGGTTGTATTAAATGTATAAGTGAAGGTTCATTTGAACACCTGTCCTAACACGCAACTTTTTGGAAATGTTAAGTGAAAGAGGCACTTCTCCATGGATTCCTAGTGATGAGTTCCACTGTTAATAAAAATTGTGTTATACGTGCGGAGGCGTTTACAGGATCTCATATTACAAAGACCTTGATGATACTTGTATACGCAAGGTAATAAATAAAAACGATATAATTAGTTATATTACGTATCACTCGTCGCACGAATAAAAGTAAACGTAGCTGGGGACGCTGGGGTGAAAATGTTGCTACTAAACGTAATGCAATACTTTAATTTCCCCAGCTGTAAGGAAACCCTCGTCAGTTTTTTAATTTACTTTCCATCCGCATTTTAAACAGTACAGCGTTCGCATTCTCCACAAAATAACGAATTCTCCACGAATAAAATTATTTTTCGGTGTAAATAAAAGTTTGCGAAGATTTCTATTATAGTTTGGAAGGGACTTTTAATTAATACGCGCTTCAACATATTTCATAAACTAATTAGCACAATGAACGTGGAACGCTTTCGCAATTTCAAGCACTTTTCAAAGTGTTTACTTTCGAAACGTAATTCTGTGATAAATTTGAACGGAATGATACTTACCAGCATTATCTGCACTGGCTCGCCTTTCTGTTACTAAAGGCTCTTGAAAGGTTAACGTTAAGCTGCCTCGAGGACTTCGTCCCGCATCATTGGAATCTGCCGTTAAATTTCGTGCGATGCTCCCACGCGGACTTCGATTGTGATTAGTCTCTCCACCTATGCTCCCCCGTGGACTTCGATCACCTTGGTACTCACTACATATACTTCCCCTAGGGCTATTCTTCAAAAATATACTTTCGGGTGCTATACTTCCTCGAGGGCTACGATTTCCATCAGGTATAATGCTGTGACGAGGACTTCGCAGTTCTTCACTTGGACTAACTTTCGCGTTCCAAATTTGAGAGTCTGAAGGCGTTAAACTTGGTCGAGGACTTCTATTCGTATCGGGAATTAAACTATTTCTTGGACTTCTATTGAAATCAGGCGCCAAACTTAATCTAGAGCTGCCTATATTATTGTCAGGAACGAGACTATGTCTAGGACTTCGACTTACTTCTGGCACTAAACTGTTTCTTTTATTATTTACACTTTCAGGCACTAAACTATTTCTAGGACTTCTATTAAAGGTATCGGGCACAAGGCTGTTCCGCGGACTAAACGCTGCTTCCGGAATGAGACTATTACGGGGACTTCTGGAATAATTTTCACCCGGTACTAAACTGTGCCTTTGCATCCTTAATACTGCGGCATCCGGAACTAGACTATTCCTCGGACTTAAGGCCGAATCTGGAACTAAACTATGCCTCGGGCTCCTTCCAATGGGCCCGTCTTCTCCACAATCATGGTTATCCAGTGATATGTCAGGAACAATACTTGGTCGAGGACTACGATTTAGATCTGCTCCTAATATACTTCGCGAAGCACTTTCACTATCCACAGGTGAAACGGCTATGCTTGCGCGTCGCCCGGGACTCGTCCCCGCAGATCGGGAACCTCTGTTTTGCGACGATGGTGCCGCGCTACGCGAAGTCCGACGACGGCGTGATGATGAGCTTCTGTGAAGCATCCTGATCTACATGTCAAATCTTCATTGAAGGATTATAATACCCTGGCATCTGAAAATAAAACGAGAAATGCATTAATTGGGAGAATTATTTCTTGGTTACGGAAGCGTATGGTGTAATTAACCTTGTACATGGGTTATAGGGTAAAAAATAAACCTTTATTCACGATCATATTGTAATCAGTCTCATAATTGTCATTTTGAAGGTTAAGGAAGTTGTATTTTACAACACTTATTTTTCCAGGAGGGAGGAAAGTAGATTCTCGAGGTTAGTAATATTCGATTCGAGGTTAGTAATGTAATATTCATTGCCTACCTCGATTTAGTTGCTAATATCCTAATGAATGGCGCTCTCATCGTAACTGTCTGACACTGATGACAGCCGATTTAGATGCAAATTATTCAAAACCGCATTTTAAAAACAATTCTTAATCTTACTATGAGTAATATGGATTATTTGAAGTTTGGTGCTTTTTTTGTAAATTGCAAATGAACGATCAAACGCGAAAAAGTGAAATAAGTAAATGCAGACCGAAGCAAACACAAGTAGGAGTTGTGATTAACTTTAGCCAGACTGCGGGAGTTTTGTTTCAAGTAACCTAAAACTAAACGAGCGCGGTGCTAAATGGTTAAGAACAAAAGCAAAAAGAAACCGTTAATTATTAAAGGATCGGTAAGTATATAAAACTCGAACTTGAGTTTAATGAAATTGATTGTTACCTTAGAGAGCCCATTACTGTTTAAATTTCTGGGTGGAAAAGATCAATTCTTGTCTATAAGAGATGGAAACATTGGGTTGCGCTTGCGGCCCATGAGAAGAGCAGGGGATGGCAATTTATCGCATCATAATGTTGCATAACGGAGACGTCGTAGCACTACCTGAAGAGGATACTGCCATACTTTGTTATTTTCGGGTGCCAGTAAAGCGAATGGGCCACTGAATTGGCGACGAAACCTACTGCTAGTGCAGCCAATCTACAGCCACCGAACTGTTTTAAGTTGAAGAACTCCACTGGCACTTACTAATATTGTAGCGATCATATGCCAAAAACAATGTCCGGTAATTAAATGTAATTTGTCACGTTTTAGAAATAGATAATGCTATTTTTTAGGGCTATCGTATTGGAACAGGTGTTTAGTGACTACCTGATTGGATCTGGAGAATAAATCTTTCGTTATTGACATCTGCACAGATTATAATACTAATATTGTAACCCAGTCTAAATCTGTAATCACAAAAGATCGCTGTAGGTACATTTTAGAATAATAAAACTGACATGATCATTAGGCATTACCGCATTAGGTTTGAATGTGGATCACAACATTATTTGGTCGTTCATAATGTGGATGATTTCTTTACCTTTACCTCATTAAAATAAGCAAGTAAAACATGAAGTTTTACCTATACCCTTTCCTGCCCACCATTGTTCATTCGCTTCAAAAATTCATTCGGGGAGTAAATTTTTTACTACACTCAATTTCCCTTATTTGAGGGGTTGTACATTGAGATTCTTTAGTATGGGCCATTTTTTAACATACATGTTAAATTAATATGAATATTAATGGGGTAAATTTCCAAATCTGTATTACCGACAACATTTTATGTAGGGCAATAATATTGCAGATGGCGTATAAGATGAATATAAAACGTATAAATTTAGTGAATTATTTTATTTTTGATAATGGAATGATTATATGATGATCGTGAATAAAATCGTATACGAACCTCGACGAAAGGTTATTTTTCTTAGAATATAATCACCCTCGGCGCTGCGCGCCTCGGGTGATTAAAATTCTTCGAAAAATAACCTACTTTCGCACTCGGTGCGTAATATACTAATTAGAACGTGCCGATGGAGACCCTGAGTAGGAAATGAACATATGCGTTTTTGAATTCTATTCCAGAGCATATAAAGGTAATTATCAATTAACGGCGTAGATGATAACGTAGGTATGCTTATTTAGTCAAAATTCTTCGAACTTCGAATTTAAAACCAAGGCTACACAATGTACTCATATAGGTAAAACTAGGTATGAATGTTGGCACTCCTTTATTTTTTTGACAAGTGCATTTTCTTCTAAGCTGATATATGATCAAAAAATAAGTAATACAAAACTTTCCGCTATATTTTGGAAATAAAAAATTCGTCATTCGCTTATTTTTCAAAAATCGATGTCTCGCTAAATAGATGCCAACTTTAACAGATCCTATCAATCGTAAAATAAACTTTTGTGTAAATAACGCAATGAGGGCGATTTATTCGGCATCGACACCTGCAGAAATTATGGGTCACCTCACCCTGTCTGTCACCATTTCAATTTCATGTTAACGTTAAATGCGGATTTAGTTTTGGAGACTAAGCGCAATGACGATCATGCCATTCGATTTCGGATTCGAGATTGCTTATATTACAATTATCGGTTGCTAAGGTTGTTTCAATAATTACCTTGTATTTTGTTTAAGATTAAGTTTATTCTTTTGGTAGCAATTTCTCTCGGTCGTTGCGATAAGAGTTGTTATCGCTGCGGACGTTATTAAATTTTTAGATAAGAACGTGTTATAACCGGAAAGCAGATGTGCTGTTTGATGTTTCTAAGTCGCACAGTATTTCAATAATGAAGGAGAGGCGGAAGTTGATGAAAGGGAAGAGTTGTTAAATACAGGAGACGAGGCTTCTTGCGTTTCTTTAATCGTCGCTCTGTTTGGTGGAAGACGTGAATCGAGTTTTTTTGGACGTGAAAAGTCAATAGTAGTACTTACGCATATTTTGTGTCAAACATTCAGTAGTTATCGTGTTTTAGAAGAAAGTTAGTTGAGTGCTATGAGTATTAAGAGGTTGAACTCGTGGTTGTTAGAAAGTTAACGTTAAGTCGAGTGAGCGGAAGCGTATTTTACGTTTACCAAGAAATTTATCAGTACCTGTTAATGGAAGTGTTTTTCACCATCAAAGGGCTAATAGTATAATAAAGTTTCATCATTTTGTGCTTGTGGGTCTGTTTGGTTGAAAATCGGAATTGACCGAAGATTTTGGATTATTGACACTGGGCCGTGAGTGGCTGTTTTTCTTTCAGCCTGATTGTTTTATGTCAAATAAGTTTATTTCATATGCAAGTGGTTGGTTTCGTGATTAATCGAGCCCGAATTACGACCCAGATAAATGTTTTTATGTTTTCTTGATGTTGTACCCAGAATTACATCAGGTGTCGACTAAAAATGTCTTAATTAATTCTTTGGAATTTTGGAGGCGGTTAAGGCTGCCTAATGTCTCAATTTAATACAATTTACGCCAATATGAAGATTTCCGTCATAGCGGAGGCTGGGCATAATTATAATTATTTCTTTTAAAAGTTTTCTTGGTACCTGTACTTAATTTATTGAGCAAGCTGAAGAGGTGGTTGTGGGTGGTTTTAGTAACGGTTGTCCATTGAACATACCAATAAATAGTACCCAAATTTGCCAAAAGTGCAAGATTTTTATACATCCCCATCTAATAAGCGGAAAAACCTTTAAATTTAACAGGTAGCACTACTTGCTTTTTTAATGCGTATATTCTATATTGTGTTGTCTACGCCAACCACAGGCGTAGCGAGGACTCAAAAGTTGGTTTCAACAGGATGGTGCACAGGCACAACGCCTTAATCGTGCGAGAATATCTATTGAAGATCTTTTTCATTTTATAGGAAGTTTGTCCGATAGATATTCTTGCACGATTAGGCCGTTGTGCGCGGATGCACCGTCCTCTTGAAACCAACAATTTCCAACTTTTGTATTTTCTTGTGTGCCGTACATCGTTGTATTAGTATTAAAAAATGCTACTCAATACAGTATGTACTTTTTTTACAAGCCATATAAAAAACTGTTGATGATGATTTCTCCGAAACGAAATGTTGTATTAAAAATCTCTCAATGCCATCTTGTAGAGCTCAAAAAAGGCAATGAGAATGTGTTTTTTATTTTATCTATAGTTTATCTATATCTGTTCAAATAACACCAGAAAAAAATAAAAATAAAATCTGTAAATTTCGGATTTTCTGGGATACAGGAACTACCGGAATTAATGGGAATTTTCTGGTTTTCTTTAACGCATAATAATAACCCTAATTGCGCATCTTTGCTCTAATTTGACTATCGTCTTATCTTCTATGGTTTCGGAGATCCCATGATATACATTATAAAAACATATATAAAAATATTTCTGTGGCTAGCACAGATACCACCCCCATTATGCAATAATTTAGCCATAATATAGAAAAAAGTCAAAAATTAACAGTTTCTTGTTACTTGACACGTTTGCGCATACACGATTCTGCCCAAGAGCTTTTCCGCCTTGTTTTCCGCTTTCCGTAAAAAAAAGTGGTCAATTTTACCCCACTGCAATTTACCTCCCTTACTAGATCGTGCCGGTGGTAAAAATGGAATTGGTCCAATTTTTTTAGATTGTGCGGTTGCCACGTTAATAATTGAAAAATGTTAAAACGTCAAGCATTACCGAATTTCTTTGGAAAGACGAGGGGTATCGAAATTGAGATATCCTGTAGGTACCCTATTTTTGCACGATTCTCTTGAAAAGACCAAGTGGTGTTCATATTTCGTATGACTGAACGGAAATTCCGTAAAAAAATGATTTTCCTACGAATGCCTTCGAAAATGATGCATTTCATTAAAGTAAGGTGGTGTGAAATCATCTACGCTAAGAGCCTAAATGGTATTCATTAAACAATTTTATTTTGGCAAGTACGTATTAACTATTTTCACTGTAATTAATTGTTTGAGATTTGCTAGCATATCAGATTAAGTTCTCTTTTCGTGCGTGTAAGAATTATGATTGGTTCTTAAGGCGAGTGCAATATGCATTGGTGGTGTAACATCTTCCGAAAATTTCGTTTCGGTATTCTTTCGACGAGCACGTTTGGGCCGACACGTTAAAGCGAAGTGTAGTATTAATAACCCATGTGGGTCTAATTCCACAAATTATTGAATATTGGTTTTGGCGATTGTGCAAACCTCGACTTGGTTTGGAAGCGAGCTTTGGCACTACTTGTCTCCGGTAT